TCAACATTTTCTTTAATAAATTAATCTCAAATTTAGATATAAGTTTCTTTTTAATATTTTAATTCTTTTAATATATCATTTATTTAAAATGATTTGTATTTGCAATAAATTAAAATTTTAAAATTTAAACTTTGAAGCTCTTATTGTTCCATTGACCGAAAACAGAACCTTTACTTTGAATATTACTCTCAACTAAGCATACTCCTACTTATATTCGATTTCACAATGCTTATGGCATTTTAAGATTCTGACGAAGTGCCTACAACAAAATATAAATATGAATATAATTAATTAATTTCTATTAAATAGCTGTCAAATATGTTATAAGTAATTGGTTTATTACTCACTTGTTTCATGTGCAATGAAATTAGTTGTGGGTGGTTTCGAATTGTAGAAGAATAAAAGCAGTGCATAAAATCCTCGTTTTAAAATATTATACAAAATATTAAATCTTTTTAAAATATTGAACAAGTATGTACGTGGTATACTTTTGGAGTATACAATTCACATATATAATGTAAAAAAGAATTACTATTTTAATGTTATTTACCATCAAGTTGTTATATATGTGAATTGTATAACTCAGAAGTATATAATGTACATAATTGTTGTTTGTTGTAGTGTAATCTTTTATGGGAAGAAACTTGTAGATAGATACGAGCGAAAATATTTTTATTTTGCCTGGATAATCACGAAAAAAGTCTATTACTACTACTTAGGATATTCCTTTTTTGTGTGAGTTCAATTATTTTCTTTGTCTTAATTTATGTGAAAAAAAATTTCACAATGAAAGTTAAACCACCTACTTAGGACCCGTTTGGCCATAGATTTCCCAAGTAATATTTGGCGAAAAAATTAGCAAATAGTGTTTGTCCATACAATTTGCCATTATTTGGCAAATATTTTTGGCAAACATCCCAAATTCCCAAATACTAGTTTTTTCTAGTATTTGGGTCAAATCTCATTATTTGGGATCTTTTAAAAATTGAAATTTTACACCAAACTTTTATCTTTTACAAAAACACTCTCTATAATAGTTATTTGCATTGTATTACATAATTTTTTACGTGAAAACTAAAGTAGTGATGAAATATTCAGTGAATATGAAAGTGATGATATGGTTGTTGATGAAAATGATGAACAATCGGCCTAGGATTACAAAGTCATGTGTTTTGTCTACTTCGCGATGTATGGAAGGATGCTTGTTGCACTCACTCCAAACTACTGCATTGCTCCAGTGTCATGGACACTACTTGTTATTTATTGCAACGAAGATCCAAATGAGTTGTAAGACAAACTTATGGTTAGTTTTGACAGTTTTTAAAACTTACGGGTATAATCATAGTTTTCTAAAAAAGTGAAATATGTTTCCCAAATAATATGGTCAAACACATGGTGAAATTTCACCCAAATTTTTACCCAAATAATATTTGTCAAGAATATTTGAAAATTTATGGCCAAACGCTAGCTTAATTTCTTTGTTTGAAAGTAAATTTGTGAAAAAAGGTAAAAAGAAGAAGGTGAATCTTTCGGCGGAATTGAGAATAATTAGTTAGGAAACAGTAAAATTTAAAGGAGCTTTTTCTTATTTGCTTTTTTCGAACAAGTCAATAGGTAGTAATTCCAAGATGTCAATTCCTAAAGTTATGAATGATTGTACTGCTTGTCTTACATCCACTTGCTTCTTTTACAAAATTAAAAAAATATATATATATTTAAAAATGGGGATTTTGTTAATTCCATCTGCTAATCTATTCATTTTACCAAAATCACTTCTTAGTATAACTTCATGAAATTCCTAAATATTCACCTCTTAGATAAACCAGGTCAATTGGTGACTTGTTGTTTTCTCTTTTGGATAACCATGTAATGTAATATCATATAGCTTGTGTAAGATAATATATAGTTGAACCTAATAGAAGAATAAATCCCTTTCCCAACCTCCAAGCTCCTGCGATGTCAAATAGGCAGATTGGATTAAAATTAGAAATATTAAAATGAGTTGAAATATAAATTGAGTTGGATCCTGATCCGCCCAAATTTACTTTGAGCTTAAACATGGGTTGAGTCTTGACCCGCTCAATTTCACCCGTTTAATCTCAATAATTTTAATATATTATTATTTAGGTTTTATAACCATAATTTGAATTTCACCTCAAGAAAATTTATAAAAGAAGTTACAAATGGATAGATAAATCTTAAAAAATATAAAATAGTTAGTAATTCAAACCTTCAATATAGGAACATACATTACATCAATACAAATAAAGAGACTTAAAACGGGTTGAAATTGGAGATTAACTTGGGCTCAATTGAGGATTCTCTTAAAATGGATGAAGGCATGAATGAGTTGAAATTGAACCCAATTCAAATTATCTTGAACTCAACCCTTAAAATTTTGAATAGGCTGGACGGGTCACCTATAGTTGGGCTCATTTTTAACACTCCTGCTCCAACCTATAAGCTTAATTTAGTGTTGTGATTATACAAACAACAAGGTGATATTGCCCAACTACAAGTACTTGTCTTGAATACGATCACACAATTGATCGATCATCGATGAATCAAAATATTGTACAAGAATTTGTTCAATCTTTATCAGTTTTTTTACACTAATCTCATCTACAAACTCATAATTGTTAGACATTTAATCCAATCTCTTTTTGGAAGGAACTAACGAAAAACAGTCCTAGTACTATTTATTGCATCCCCTTTTGATAGGGATAACTTATCTTGTTACTAATTAATAATCTTTTCTGTAAAATAAAATAAAATGGGGGTAGGAGATGGAAAAACGAGGGAGGTGATTATAAGGTGGAGAATCAAACTCTCACCAATTAATCGTGATATAACTTATTACACAACCAAATACCAAATAAGAGCGTACTAAACTTTTATTCGAGGACTAAATTAAATGTTTATCCAACATACCAAATTGTTCTATGGCTTGCTGGAGCACTATTTTTTAGGTTATTTACTCACCTAAAAATTATTGAGACGCATGTGATGTCCTAATTAAAAGGTCAAGGGTCACCATCAATGTATTTGCCGATTATATAACACTCTATTAATCAAAACATAGCAAAAGTATGACAGCCAATTTTCCACTGAAAATCGATTAGGACTTCTTCAGAAAGCACCAAAATCTCTTGAAAAATAGTACTATACCAAATAATTCCCCCTTATAGCTCCTTTTTTTCAATTGCTAACAAGTACTGTTTCAATGGTCCCTAACATGAGTAATTAGTTAGAAATTGTAATTTCTAGACTGGCTATTAGCACCTTTATGAATCTTCAACCAAACTCATAATGGAGCTATTTATATTTTGTCCTCCTAATAAAAGTTTCTTTTTGAAACTTTTTTCCCACCTTTTATGATATGTCAAGATCATATATCATTTTGGGAGCGCAAAAAGTTACTACCTAAAAGAAACAAATCCAATTAGTCATGATAATATACGGCACCCCACAGCAATATTTAATTCATGAACTATATAATATAACAATAAGTATAATACTAATGAAGTATTGACACCTTGCAAATAGTTTCTAATTTCTCCAAAATTATGTGTTTATAATTTATAAGCATATCACGTGTGGATCATATCATTTAGAGGGGTCAATGATCCACTTTCTAGTAATGAAATAGATATATAGTACGCAAAAGAAGGAAAAAGATATGGACCGTATAAGTATTAAGTTCATCCATATATTCCCAGAAGCACAAGTTGCAGCATATAGTAAACCAGAAAGAACTTGGGGAAATCTTAATCGAGTATTATACTCCTCATTAATTATCTTGATATAATTGATAAATCAATGTATAAATTGATCAGCCTTAACGAGGAATAAAAGAATTGATTCATCCCCAAAAAGATCCTGAAATCATGAGCTTATTAATACCTATATAAGTTAATGATTTATCAGTAGTTCTGACTGATGTACAGATAAGCTAAATCTATTTGTTCAATAAGGGGCAGGATGAGAATAAAAGGAGTAAAGGGGACACAGGGACGTGGGTGTTGCTTTTCATGATTTAACAAGATAACCCCCTCCTCACAGGGACCACATCCCTCTTGCAAATCCACTGCCTTTTTTATCATGTTTCTCATCTCATGCATGATTTATGAAGGACGAAACTTCATATGTTATGTGCTTTTTGGTTTTATGAATGTAGATTGTCATTGTACTCATAATTGTTCATTTGTATATAACGAAAAATTCTAAGTAGAAGACAATGTCCATCCACTTCTATGGCTGAAAAATTGCATTTATCGCTATCTTAGAGAAACTCTGATAAATTCGTTATATAAGAAGTACTGGAAGGATCCCCAAGTTTGAGGTCGAGTGAGTGGGGGTCCTCCATCCCATCTCTTTGATCATTTTCTCTAGCCTTAGTATATGTACAAATTAGGATAACAAGTATATATAGTAAAAGGTGTATTAAATTATTGGATGGTGGGATATCTTTTTCATGCAAGGGAGTTTTATAATGCTGAGATGAGAGGAACTATTACGTCTGTGGGAGAAACTAGAAAGGAATATGGTCCCATCAATTATTTAGCTATTCCTATGTACACTTCCAGAAAACCAACAACATTTATCAAGGACTTATTTTGTTTGCTTAATGCTAGGGCCCAGCCCCTAGGTTCTTAGGCTTATAGTTGACACAGTTCAGGCTTTGCCACAACGATGGGCCTGCCCAGCCCAGCCCAAATGTTTCTCAAGGAAGAAAGAGCCTCTTCTACCATTCAATTTGGGGAGGTCAACTGTTAGCTTTTTTTCCCACTTTCTTTGTCCCTCTTTTGGAATAACAAAACAAAGAGTAAAGAATATAGGTAGAACTTGGTGATGCACAGAAAGTAGAATTACTAAGGCAGTGCTTTGTATGTGGCCAATGATACTGAAGATACTAGCAGATGACACTGCCCTTTGAGTTTATGAGTGACAAAACAGGAAAATATCTGAATTGTTTTTGGTAAAGAACGTATATATATGATACTCTGCCAAACCTAACTTTAATGGTGCAAGCTCAATCTTCCCTCATTAAACATTTTGAAAATAAGTCTATTTCTTCCAACAATTCCCTTTTCCCACTTTGAAATCTTGAAGACTCCATAACACTAGATGGCTGAGTCGTTATGAGGCTAATGAGAAACTGACAAACTTTACCTACATAATCTGAAGCAGCTGCTACGTTCCATGTCTTCTCCTCTTCCCCAGCATGTTGAAGTTTGTCTGTGTAGATACATTTTCTGCATTCCTGCAGGCAAACATAATAATAATGGAATTCCATTTATTCATTTTGGCAGTGTTCTATTTTTTTTGTTCTTTTTCAAAAAAGCAAGCTTCATGAGGCCAGATCACAATAGGAACCAATGAACTTTTGAAGATTAAGTATCTATTACCTGGAATACTTGATTTAGAGCAGCAATTTGTTCATCATTCAGAAAACCATAATTAAGCAACTTCCTTAAGAGGAACACCAACTCAGCGCTCAAATTAGAATTTGTAATGTTTCTAATAATGGCAAATATGCAAGATTCATTGAAGATTGAAGTCATCCATTGAGGAACTTTATTTCTTCTCAGCAGTTCAACTGCAATATGAATTGCAGGCTTGTGATGGATCATGAAAGATTTTGAAGCCAAAGATGGAGCTGCCAAGGACATCACTAATTCTTCTACTATAAACCGACACCAGTTGTTCCTTTGTATAGCTGATACTTCTGTTTCCACATCTTGCCACCCAATGAGCATAGACAAACAGAGGGAACAGTTCATTGCTACAGACATGTCACTTGAGAATATTTGGCCTTCTAAAACAGCCATTATAGACAACAAATAATTAGTTCTGAATTTTAATGTGTCTGATTTTCTACTTCTCTCATCTTCTATTCCGCTGAATAACTCCAGAAGGTATTGCGAGCTAAGTAACTTAATAGGAATAGATCCAAAATGCAATAACTTGCACAAATCGTGGCACTGTATACTAATATAAGGCCAGGGTTGTGGTATGTTGGTAGGATCCAGCAGATATTGACAGTCCACAATCCCTGGTAAAATGGCATGCACACTAGCAAAATAAACTATTAGATTCCAAACTAAAAACAAAATAAAAGAAAGCATAGAACCTATGTTAAAGGAACTGATACCTTCTCAAAGAGAAGTAAAGCAGTGAAAGCACAAAAACAAGAGCTTCTACAGATCTTGTTCCTTCGTCTTGTTCAACTAGTGAAGGTCCCTTGGAACAGGCATTGGCGATAGTGGTATTAACCAATGATAGCAAATGAGTACTAAGGATTATGGTTTTCGAAGGTTCAACCATCACTTGATTTACTGAGTGATGCAAAACCATAGAAAGAATGCCAATTGATATAAGAGTTCCTGGAGTCCATCCATCTGCAGCTACTGAGGGGATCAGGTAGTCGATAATCTGCAATTAAGGAAAAGTCTAATTACTACAGAGTACAGAGGAACTGGAAGCAAACAGCATTTAGAAGAGTGAGTACTATACTTTCACCACAATTGCAACCCAGGGTTCATCATCGGAGAGGGATTCAGAGTGTACTGCTTGAAGAATGCAGGATACTAGTTTGGAGATGGACATGAAAGTATCTGGGGATGAAGAATGACCAAACTTATAGTAAAGATTCTTAATTGCAGCAGCTATCCCATGCATGCAAAATTGATCTGAAGCACTTGGTGAGATTTCTATTATATGTTTTATGGTATTCACCACTGAAACAATGTCATACTCGGAATATTGTTCTCCAGCCTCTCCTAATAGAAACACCATGACCATACCTAAAAAGTTATCCCCCAAAGCTACAAGTTTTGTCATAACATACACATCTATCTTCTGATTGGCTTCACCATGGATATTTATCTGGTTTACGTTGGAGCAATTGCATCTGCAAAATTTCAAAATCTGGGCAGACAACACGTTGCAGATTTTCTCTTGTTGGAACAACCATTTCAAAGATCTTACGTGGATTCTTGTAGATAGCAAATCCCAGCCCTTTTCCGCAAGTAGGTGGAACACAATCCTTTCAGCCTCTGGGCTGTAGGGGATTTGGTAGCTCACCTTGGCTAAACCTCTGTATAGTGCATAAAGATTTATAAATATTCCCAAAACAGAAGCTCTGTGCATGTTTTTGCTGCTGTTAAGTAGAATATATTGCTCCAATGAAGCTAACACAAGCTTATCATCTGCAATTCTGGAAAAGGGATGACATGATCAACTGAGGACTGATAACATAAGCAGGGAAAATGCAGAAAGAGTAAGATTAAGATTCCAGAAACTATTTACCGATCGTCATACAGTGAGCTGATGTACAGTAACAGAAGAACTGCCAGTTGGCGAGAAGACAATTCAACATTTTGGGAGCTTTTATGGCCCAGAAGGAAAAGCAAATCTATAGGATCAGATGGAAGATGTGGAGCAGCATCGCTAATGCATCGCGCAGAATCAACCCCAAGAATGATATCTGTCATCACACTAAAGATAAGATAAACCTTCCTTTTCATCTTTTCAGAAGGGAAAAAGCCTAAACATCCATATGCAAAACTGAACCAGGAAGATGTGAGCAGAACATTTGCAAATATTTTAGTTTCAGTTTCTGAATCTTGTAGCAATATGGAATAGAAATTTTCAAGTATTGCAGCTGGAATATCCTCATCTTCCATCTCATGAAGGGATTTCATAAACCATGGTAATATATGTGTTTTGCATACATCTATAATGCTTCTTCTAAGCTCTGTGTTGGTTGAGCTTGAGGAATTCATCCCAACACTATATGAATATGCCTCTTTCAGTAGGTAAAGAGAGTTCAAAAGTTGACCCGGGTATTTGCCATAATTAATTAAACAAGTTAAGATGCAATTTCTTGATGCATCCTGAATTGATAGTAAGAAACTTGAAATCCCACAGGTAGATGAACATTTCATAAGTGCAACAAATATTGAACAGACCAGAGCTAATGTCTCTGGAAGCATGCCTATTTCTCCGTCAAGATTTTTCTTGAGCATTCCTGTCAATGAAAGGCTTATTTCTTCTACCTGAGACTTGGATACCACCCCTGGGCAGTTCTCAACAGAGTTCCAAATAAGCCTGAGTGTCTCAGTCTGTACAGGGTGGAAAGGAATTTCAGCAACATGATGCAGAACTGGAATCAGGGCCATGAACCCAATTGCAAGTCTCTGTCTAAATGCTTGCTCAGCAGTTGCTAAAATATCAAGAAGCTGAATACAAGATTTAATTGTTGGATCTTTGCATCCTGCAAATTAATGAGTTACTTCATTAGTCATTACAGACAAGATTAATTGCATAATCTGACCTAATATAATTAGAATGTTCTCTAGCTCATTGTCGTGAGAGAACTTAGATCTTGTCGAACCATATGGACAACAAACATTGAAGCCATGGTAATTTGTTTATTGTAGGATAACACTGTAATGGCCAGAGAATTGGTTGATTTCAAGATAGTTTAATTGTAAACGAAAAAACAAATAAAATAGAGTGCGACTGAAATGCCGTCTTTCATCTTTCATTTCTTCAAACGAAACTAATACGTATAAATCTAACTGCTCAGGCACTGTGTATAGCTGATATTCTTACTTGACAATCTCAGCACTTCAAACACATAGTCTGCAATGTTCTCTTCAACAAATACTTGGATTTCATTTTCTAAGACATCTTTCCCCGACAGATAAAGGTAAAGTAAATCTAGCGCTGCTATTTGAACTTGATTATCAGAAGAAAGCAGGGGGCCTTTGACTGCCTCTGCAAACAAGATAGCTAGAGGCCCATCTGATATCTGCTCATTTGTTTCCATCAAGTGGTCAACATCATAAGAACTCCTGCTCCTTGTGCCAATTATAGAAGTAGTTTGAAAGAATCCTCTTTGCATTATTACTGTTAAGAATGCTGCATAAACAAAGAGTATCACTGATTTAACAAATGTGAGAGATGAGATTATCTTGCAGAAACTCTAACATCAGCAGCTGCTTATTCTGTGGTGTTTCTTTTTTCCCTTTCTCCTTTTCCTTATGGGAATGGTGGCGGAAGGGAGGGGACAAGAGAGGGTTGAAGCCAGAAGAGAGAGATTATCAGAGCTCTGGTGAAGAGTGCATAGAACTTCGCTAGTCAAGTCAGCAGCAAATATACACGCAAAACTTTTTATCAGTCAGAGTATATCCAAGGTGTGAACAGATTTATGGAGCCTGTTTACCACAACATAAGGCTCAAGAGCCACAACATCTCTAGATTCAAATGATTTCTCAAGGAGAGATATGGCTATTCCTATAATGCATTCTCGCTTTTTAGCGACCATACTTCCCTGGTATACTTGTCAGATATATTATAAATTAGTCAGCTATTCACCATATACTCCTCTTATTTTGCAATAATCCAAGAACAAAATGGTTAACTGTCAAGATATTCACTGGAAAACCAAATTCAGAGATGCAAAAGCTCAAGAAGCAGAAATGGGTAATGTTAAAGAAGCTTACCTATACAGTTTAAGCGAACATCATCACTTTGAGCTTTCATGAGAACTGCCAGTGCTAAGTGTAGGAGCTTCGAGAAATGACCAAATAAACTGGGAGGATCTTCACCGTCTTGAGACACATTGAGTAGGAATAATTTGTATAGAACAAACAGGATTTCCCCTTGAATATCTTCACTGTACTCAAGAAGGAATTGACCTTCAGGGCTTTGTTTAAGGAAAAATGGATAGCCACCGTCTCAGTTTCAAGAGTCACCTGGACAATTGAAGGCCGCCAACGAGATTGAAAATGAGGGCATCCGTTTCTTCGAGGCAATAGGAATGGTTTTTTTGGTAATCCAAGAGAAGACCTAAGCAGTGAAGCTTTTTTTTTTAAAATGGGTCAGATTACATGTATTAGAGGAAAACATATGTCACTGCAAATACAGAAATAAATATAGAAACTAAAAATTCTCTGTGCAAATTGAAGGCTGAGTTATCTCATTAAAATCCAATGTGTATTTGACAGATATCAGGTCAATAATACCAAGACAGAAACGCTAAGTGTAACTTCTTCCTCTTTCTTGTTCATTCTAGCTTCTCAATGAGAAAATCAATTACATACAAAGTGTACCATCTCTAAAATGAGCAATTTGCTCATAGAGGTCAGCAGCAGACAGGAACCGAATAGAATGTGAAGCTACTCTAAAAAGGTTGTGAATCATCATGAGGAAACATATAATTGGTGTCATTTTAATGCAACTCAAATTTTCACAAATTCAAAATCATTTACAGTTCCTCCCATCTTTTATTTGCTTATTTTGTAACATCTTACAAGTGTTTTCCTACACAAGTCTTTTAATGGACTTGAACACTGGCATTGAAACTTGAAATAACTACCTAAGCAGGTTTTAGCTTTCTACTCACTGCTCTGGCTAAAACTAATATTTTCTCAGGAATCATTCTGACTCTGGTTTTCCAATCAAATCTGCAACAGTGGCTGTGCTTAAACTTAGGCTGTTAGTCAGTGTCATTGACTCACTGAAATTGAAAGCAGTTGCCAAATAACTGTGGAAAAGCTACTATAAAAGCAATATTTGATTTTAGGCATTGAAGAGTGAGCAAGAAAGCTATACTGCCAAAACCTGTTCTTATTATAAATCTTAATAGGATCTTCAAAATCATTTTCAGTACCGAAAACTTTACTGATCACAGTCGGCTGTCTGCCACCACACAGTTGCACTGTGCTGAAGGACACTGAGGAAATTAGGAAAACCAGATACTTACTCAGTTCCAGTTTTATTTCCTTATTAGTCCATTTTAGAATGACACACTTCTATGTAGGAGTATATGTTGTATCATGTATGGCTATATCTATGTAGCTATACCTTTCTACAGCTCCATTCTAAATTACACTTCCATAAATCGGAAATTTAAAAATTAGGACAGAGGGAAAGGTTACCGTGTGGAGCTGTCTCTGACTCCAAGCTAAAGATCCACTGGAAAGACGATCTGCAAACCGAGCCACAAACTCTGCATGCACATCGCAGTCCGGAGCTTCACACAACTGCATAATCAAATCCATAGTTTGCTTGGCTATGGGCTCATCATCGAAGGAAGATAGAACACCGACGATAGGCGAGATTAGGAAATGAGAGTGGAATGTGAAGAAGGTTTGGCGAAAACTCGGTTGAAAAAGCGCGATAGATAACTGGGAGAGAGCATAGGAAACGTGAACTGTCGGTGATCTCGGATTGGAAATGAGATTGGACAAGCAGAGCAGACAAATTGATCCGCCTTCATCGGTTGGGATAATCAAAGTCGAGCTATGGCCTTGGGCGCATGTTAACGGTGGTTCCGGCGGTGGTGACGGTGGTAAGTGGGGGAGATGAGAGGTGGCGAAATACATATTTTGTTGCTGTAGTACTACTGTGTGCGTGAGTGAAGGGACTGGCGAGTGCGATGGAGAAGGTGTGGGATGAATAGCAAGGCGGGAGAAAAACAAAATCTTTGACGCCTTCTCGCTTTCAAATTCGATATATTCTATATATAATAAGCTACCATGCAAAGATTTTTATAGTATTTAGTTACATCGTAACTATCTTGTTAGCTTTCAATCAAAGGAAATACTTCTTTTTCTATATATAATAAGCTATAATGCAAAAAAAATTATAGTATTTAATTACATTGTAACTATTTTGTTAGTTTTCAACCAAAAAGTCAGAAAGTCTAAAGACGATGGTAACTTAACAAAGTATTCGTTCTATGATTATGAATAGAATTTGAGAAATAATGCAATATTAACTCGGTCATGGGCACTCCAACAAGCTTCAATAGCTATCAATGGACGTGTTTGAATTGACTTGGGGATGCAGAGTCTTTTTATGTTATGAAGATTCTAATTTGCAATGTCACATGATTTTTTTATGTTGGTTTGACACTGTTTTTTAACCAGGCGACTTGGTAAGGTGAGAAATACAACAAGTGTGAAAATGGGTTAAAATGACATATATTTTTTTAGTGAAAATAATTCCATGAGGTAATAAAACTCCACAAATTTTAGGTGTCTTTTTTTAAAAAAAAATGAAAATAATTCCATGAGGTAATAAAACTCCACAAATTTTAGGTGTCTTTTTTAAAAAAAAAAAAAAAGTTAGGGGGATTTTATGTAGTGAGTTGGGTTCTTTCTTTTTAATAGCCCATCCTTGCCAAAATAAATAAAAACAATGAGAAAAAGTAAGAAGTTTAAAATAATAAATAAAATAGTTAAGAGTAGGGTTAGAGAAAGGGAAAATTGGAGTTGCTCACTTCACATTTTATTTTAGTACTAAACTGGAACCGGCTTCTCAGGAGGTGTTCAACCAGTGATTTTCTCAGCTGTCCATGTAAGTTTTTTCGTGTTCTTAATACAATCGGCAATTGTATACATCCATCACAATTTCCATCCATTTTTCCTTTATAACGAAACTGCATCCTCTTTGTTCGACGAAATTCCTCTATGGAGGAGATCGCTTCGTTTTATTTTTTGCAAATTTCTTTAGTTATTGCATTGTTCTAATATATATAACGACAATGATGCCTATATCTTTTTAGCAATCTAGTCTCAGTCATGCTGGCTGCTAGACTATTCGGGAGGACATTCTTGGCGGCGGCCAAATCAGAGAGTTCAGCCGCTGCAGCTGCTTCTTCTTCTGCTGCTAGAACCCTTAATCCGCTTGAGCAGTTTTTTGAAGTAGATAGAACCCCGGAAGATGATAAGCCCGTCGTCTATGGTAAAATCCCTTTCATATTCTCCGTTGAATCTGCTTTGTTGTTGGCATAATTGGCTATACTTCTTTTTAAAATGATCTCTACTGCTTGTGTTTTCTATAACATGTATGGGAAAAGTACATTTCATTGGTCTTTAAAGGGTTACTTGTTGTGCTGGTATGCAAATAAGTTTAGTATAGCAAATGACTGGCTACCCACATACTAGCCCTAGCTAGTTCCGTCTAATTTGATCTTCATTATCATATATAAGTGACATGTGTTTAGGTAGTTCTTCGACAAGGGCAAGCTGCTGCAAAAATATAGTAATTGTTCAACAAGTTCCCAAAGCTAAAACTTATGCAATGTACTGGAAGATACTCTGCAATGTTTGGTTCTTGTCACTGATAAATAATCAACAAAATACAAACTTCTAGGTTAAAATCCACAAAAATGACATCTTCCAATGGACTATTTTATGTAAATTGAAACCAGGTGTCACGAATACTACTCTTAGATGTTCAATTATCCAATCTAGACCGGAAATTGAAAACCTAGTTGCAAATATTTAAGATCATAGCTTATTGGAGGTTTCATTTTACTCTAAATAAAAGGTTCTCGCCTGGTGGCTTAAGTTGTGTAACAGCTCAAAAGTCTATCATGACTGCTGTGTCATTTCAATTCCATGCTATGCCAAAAAACAGTAAAAATTACATTTCTACTTGTCCTTGATGTTAAATACTGTTCTGTTTTACTGTTTAAAAAAATTGCACTTCTTTCCTTCCAAATGATACACCATGTGGCTGTAGGAAGTGAGTTCCATGTCTACATCTTTGCCTCCCCTGGCCTGTGTATGTGCCAACATTGCATTAATTCATTAGTTATCCTTGGCACTTTCCAATTAACCCCCATTATAGTCAAAATAAAGTCTGAGATCTGTTTTGTTAAAGTGCAATGTATGAAGAGGTAGTTCACATCCTCACTTTACTTCTCACACGGAGAATATTCACTGCAGATATTTACCCCTCCTTCTGAAAGTTTTCTTGGGTTAAACATGCTCCTTGGAGGCTTGGTCCACCAACCAAGCACTCTACCTTCAAAGGGCCTTGAAAAAGTTTCCATTATATTGTTGTGGTTTTACATCATTATTGCAAGCTCCTCAGATTCCTCTACTATTGCCTCAATAATTTCTTCATCATTCTCAACTTCTAGTTAGGGTTTCTATTTCAAGTGTATCTGTTGGGTTTTTGGTATTGCCTCTTCAGTTCTATAAATGCTTTGGCTGCTGCTTTGGTGTATTTGGTTCATGTTGGATAGTAAAACACTAAAATTATTATTGGCTATCCATAGGTATTCCCTAGTGGTAAATGAAGTTAGAATCAAGGCTATGTTAGACCAAAGTTTGATTTGGACAGGGTCACCTTCATCCTGGTGGAAGGGTACAAGTATCCACGGATTCAAGGTGCCTACAAGTTGGTATGGACGCCAATTTTTATCAGGGAAAAATATCCCTTAGGTGAAGTTTCACCCTGTTGAGCTTCTGGCAGCTCAGAAACTATTACATATTTGATTTAGTTGAAGCCTGGAATGTTAAATGTGCTATTTTAAACAATATTAGGATCAAAAGTAGGATATAAAAATGATTAGGGAGAGAAAAACACTACTCCCCTTTATCATGTTATGTGACACTTCCTTTTTTAGTTTGTCCCAAAAGAAAGGCTCTTCTCTCTTAAATCCAACTGTTTGATCTTTTTATATAGGTGGTTCAACCAGGCCCCTGTAACCACTGTTGAACTTTTTTTGGACTACGTCGGCTGTTTAGTGATTTAGTAAATTCTTGTACAGGAGCAGATCCCTTCGTTTGCTGTAATTTTTTGCTTTGCATCTTCTTGATGCCTTCTAATGAAATCTCCTTACTTCATAAAAAAGAAAAACTCTTCTCTCTTTTTTGAATTTCTTAATCTAGAATTCCCATTTGACTTTAATGACATGAGTTGTTGGGACCTACTTGATGTAAAATTTCATTCTTTTATTGGGAGATAGAAAGTAAAAACATGTGTAACTCTAACCATTAAAAGGATAATTTTGTTTTTTTTGCATATATTTGGCTTACATGTCAAAAGTCTTCTTAAATTTTGTGCTCGTTGAAACACCTTCAGTAAAATAGAACAAAGGGAGTGTTCTATTGCATAATTTTTAAAAAGCTATAAACTAAGTACCAAAGTTGTTGTGGGAATGATATGCTTTGGTTATCAACGAAGACTTCCAAAGGTGACGAGCTTTTCATACTAGTTGTTACCATATACTACAATACTATTGAATAGCCTGGCTTGGGGCTAAGATAACTCAAGTGGGAGAGTTGTGTTACGGGGTGATCTTATTTCACGGTTCAGTGAGTACTTTTTTTCTTATTATGTAGACCATGATTGAAATGCCATAAAACTTTCAAATTCCTTTTTAGTTTTTGGAGTTCTTGACAACAAACACCTTCCCCTTTGTTAGAAACGAAAATTTTAAAATAAATTGGATGTGACTGAATAGTACCTAGAGGCAAGAGCATTACCTTGCGATAATTTATTATGCAGAGTCAAACTGTCAAAGATTGATCTTTTCCTCAAAGACAAATACAATTGGATTGGCCTTGGACCTCAGAGAGGCTGCCTTCTCAAGGCATTGCAGACATTTAGTTGCCCTTGAGCATTGGCTTAGTTTGGGGATCTTTTATTTGGTTTAAATGTCTTTTAAAACCCTCTCAAACCACGTTTGCAATAATCAAAGTGGTAAGACCCCCACACTTCAAAGGGAGACTTCGGCTAGGAAACTTCTATTGGGACTCATCTTGATTACCAATCTGAATCTACTGATGGATACTCATAATGTACACAATATCGACTATTTTTGTATTTCCTTATAGAATGGCCATTCAATTTTCTTCTCTTTTGTAATTTCTATAATGTTTCAACAAAATTTCTCGAGTTCTAATTTGTAATTTCACAGGAAGCGGAGTAGTTCATAAACTACTACATAAGTATGAAACTGATTCTTTCACTTTAAAAGTGTAAGCAATGAGAAATTAAGGATGTTATGATTGAATGAAGGTGAATTATTTGGTTAAGCAACATACATGGAAGTATCCTATGAATACCATGTGAACAGACATTATTGTGAATCCTGTCACATTTTTTTCTGATTGTATCACTAGCTCTTTTTTCTTTTCTTTTCTTCCACCTCTTCTTTATTATTTGTTTTTTGTTTTTTCTGGGAAAATGTCCTTGTACATGAACCTCTATTGCTCAATTCTCTATCAAGATTGGGGTGTTTCATTGTCTTAATCATTACTGCAATTTGTTTTATTAGCATTTACCACTGAAAGCTGTTTCACTATTAGAGTATTTGGTTATTATGAATTTGTGTGCGGCTTATTATTTAGTTTGTGTTCTATGTTGGGAACATATAAGCCAAATTTCTCCGATTAAATTGAAGTCTAGCCAAATGGACTTCCTCACTGTAGATGAGAGGTCTATGCTCTAACTTCTTTGTGGTTTCTGTGCCCTTCGTGGCTCAAATGCTTGAAGGCCTTCTAGTTAAACACACACTAGAGATTGAAGTTCTCTTATCCTGAGTGGCAGGCTGGTTATTTAGTATGCTTGTACCATTGATTTA